CCAGCGCTATTTTGCATGGCCCTCCACCCCGCATTACTACGCATTCGAGATCGTCTTCCACCCGGGGCGGAAGTATTAGCCTACCTTGACGACGTGTACCTACGCGTATATGGTCCAGATGAGGTGTCCTACGTACTACAGCTCACGGAACAGACACTGCGCGATGTGTGCCACATCGAAACGATTGTCGGCAAACTGGCTACCTGGGGCAATACACCAACACCATGCCCAGACGATTTGGTAAGTCCGCTTGCTCTTGCTTGGAAATGCGACAAACCGCTTGAAGAAAGAGGCATTAAAATCTTGGGAGCGCCACTCGGCACTGCGGAGTACATCAACAACTTCTGGGCGACCATGGCTGGCGAGAGGGCGAAGCTGCTCAACTTCCTTACGAAGCTCCCCTCGCGCCAAGCATCGTGGCTTTTGTTATATTTTCCCACCGCAAGACGTGCGACCGCTCGCTGCTGAACACGACGCTACTATCTTGTCTGCATTCCGGGACATATTTACAATACCTACGGAACAAGATTGGGATACAACATTGCATGGTGTTTCGTATTCTACGTGGGTGGCTCAATCCAGATTGCCCCTCCGTTTGGCCGGCATGGGCCTTCGGGACTCGGTGCGCACGTCCAGCGCTGCATACTGGGCAAGTTGGGCAGACGCTGTACCGGAGATCATCGCGAGGTTCCCGGCTCTGGGATATCGCATACTGTAATACTTTACGACGCTCCCAACTATAGCTGACCTCGGGGCTACACCAATACCACGCTGCCTCGTGGCAGCTGAAGCAGCGGGACGACAATGTGATGCGGCAGGTTGGGTTGAACGCCCTACTTGGGCTGACATCGGAGCTGGGCTCAGACCACCACAACCAAATCTGGCAGAAATGGTCCTCGGAGAATGGCAACACGGGTGGCAATACCATGCATCACTTCACATCGAGAAGACGGCACATGCGAAATTACTGCGTGACCTTGCACTGCCTAGTGTTCGGGCTAATGCCGCTTCCGTCGGAAAGGCACGCGTATTTTCAACTATGGGGCGGTTTGCTTTGGGGTGGTTGCTGGTGTCTCCTACAACGGACGAGCTCACTATTACGGATTCCTACTTTGTGTGTGCCGTGCGGCGACGATTAGGAATAGCATGCGTACACGACGGGCCTGATCAACATGGTCACGGACGACTGGCTGATGGCACAGGCGGCGGTTGGCAGGGGCGACACACTGACTTGGTGGCTGCGTGGAGGCAGGTGTTCAGAGAAGCTGGGGAGCAAGTCCCAGATCGCAACATGGAACGGCTTCTCAATACTACGAACATCCCTGTCCGACCAGATGATATGCGTCGGGTTGACATTGTGGTAACGTGCACAAATGCGGATAGAGGGTTGCCATTGTTTTGTGATGTCACAGTGGTGAGCCCTATTACGGGGAGGGGCCTACCAAGAGGAGGGACAAGTAACAGAGGTGGGGCAGTCTTGGAACGTGCGCAGAACGACAACAACAACACCTACGCTGAAGTGATCTCGAGTGGGTTAGGTAGTCTGCAGTGCCTAGGGGCGGAAGTGTACGGCAGATGGGGGCACAAAGTGTCGCCCTGGTGCCTGCCTTAGCTCACGAGCGAACTCGGGACTTGCACAGGCGAGTCCGTCATGGGGCCGCACTAGGATTGCAGCACCGGTGGTGGGGCGTTCTGGGCCTCGCTTTGCAACGAGCTGTTGCTAGGTGCGCATTAGGGCCAGGAGGCGACCTGGCCTATACGCCCCAGAGGCCTGCATGCCCACTCGCCGACTTGGAGGTGATTTGATCCTCCTCCTCCTCCTCCTCCTCCTCCTTTGACGCTGCTTAGCGCGCGTGTGGCGTCACCTCTGTTTCACCGCGCCTTGGTTTTCAAGCGTATCTTGCACCTGTGGTTCGTGCCCGATGCTGTCGCCTTGGGGGAAAAAAAAATCGGTTGGGGAAGACAATGCCCAAAATAATTTATCCGGGACATTAATGTGGATCCGCTATCAAATCAAAAACGGCATCGAAGCAACCATACGCCAATATCACAGGAATAACGACACCGGTCTTTCGTCTTTTCGTCCTCCCCCCAATCGATCCATCGTTCGCACGCCCTCATTGAGTTTTTTTGTCAACCCACGCCATTTGTTATGGAAACCCGTATTCAATTATGGAAACCCGTGTTCAATCATGGAATCCCGTGTCTCCCGTCACTGTGCGGGGGAGGTCCTCCGTCGCCATCGTCGTCGCTCTCCCTATCGTCACTAAATTCACGCATGTCTCCAGCATCGTACGCCATAGGTACGTCTTGTGTTGCTGGAAAAGGGCGAAGGCTGTCAAGTCCAAGCGGAGGGGTAAGAGCGACGCATTTTCGACCGCAATGGTTTGAGAAAGTCTGGGAGGCTCCCCACCGTGGGTAGGTTCTTCGGACTCTCTTGGGGCCTTTGTGGCCCTGGGCGGCGGGTCGTATTCAGCCCTGTGTGGCGTTCGTTCGGGTGGTGGTTCGTACTCAGCCCTGCTTGGCGACAAAAGTTCCCGTCCAACAGAAGGCGGGGCAGGGGTGGGCATAGGGATGGGTTGGACGAATGGGTAAGGCATAGCCTTCCAGAGATGGGAAGGTAGTGGCTGTTGAGGTCGTTGTCGTAGCTAGCCGTACTACGTCCACCAGGAGGCGCTGATGATCTTTTCGTGTTTGTGGTCGAATTCCTGTCGCCCATTGAGCCTAAGCCCAATAAATGCAATGCCTGGTCGATCCCTTCGGGGCAAGAATGTGCCGCCTCCCCAATCCGCACCCCAACAAACGGTGAAATTCTGCACAGCAAACGGCGTAAAACGGATGAAGCCACACGCTCGTGAACACAAGAATACGGGGAAAATATGTAGAACTTGCCCAAAGAACAAATCATTTGCGAGGCATGTACTCCCATACGTAGTGCGTCGTCACACTTCGCTTGCACGATCCCCAAGATGTTGTTGAAAACCGGACCCGGTAGGTAAATACATACGCCATGTAATAATAATCACCATTGACATGCACGCGCAATCAAATTATCCTTTGCAAACATTGCCAGGGGACGTTGTCGGAGGTGTTGCTGTATTCGTACCTGCAAATGTCGTCATTGGGCATACCGTAATTGGTGTTGGTGGTTGGATTGGTCGGAGCAGGAGTCGGAACAAGAGTTGGGTCTGGAGTCGGGAAACGAAATCACAGTAGGCTCCATTGGGGCAATAATAACCGGAAGATACCGTGGTTGGGGTTGGTGGTTGGATTGGTCGGAAGGGCCATCGGAATCGGAGCTGGAGCAGGAGTTGAGAATCGAAATACAATCCCAATCGATCAAAGCAAGATCGAATTGTAGTCAGCACGACCGTGGCGCTCATTGCTCTCGAATCCGCACTGCCCAAAATAGTAGTACAGCTGTTGCCACTGCCATAACCTACCTCTTCTTCGATCGTTTCACAGATGTCGTATCGATCGCATTCGTTCTCTGCCATGCGATTTCGAATGGGATGCGCCCAAAAGTCTAAAGCTGGAGTTGGGATGTGGTATGGCGTCCCACGCACCCAAATTATAATATATTGTATATGTACGTCATAATCGAGCACGTCGTACACGATCAAGCATTGGATGATTAGTCGGAGCCGTGACCCAAACAAATCGGAGGGAACCTTGAAACGTTGCCATATGAACCGAATGCTGGGATCGAATCCGGGGTCGGAGCGGGAGTCGGACATCGAACAGGTACCCCAGACAACGCTTTTACAGGAACCTCCATGGGGACTTCCATTTCCTAAGCCATCAAGGCCAGGAGTCGATGTGCCGTCGAGGCCTCTGAAATGCCTTATGGAGACCTTCGGGCGGGCCGCCTGGGCTGCTGTGGAGCAGCTCGGAAAAGTGGGAAGCCGATATGCTACAAATGAAGTGTGAGCGGGCACCGGGACTATCGTAGGAACCGGCGTCGGGAATACGTCGTATACCAAACGTTGTACACGCAATACAACATACGCCATGCAATGTGTATCGCGTATAATGTGTAATCTGAAGTGGGTGCTTTCATAGCCGATATGTCGTTGGGTAGTCCGTCGGCGTGGGGATCAGGCAGACGAGGGATCCCAAAATCTTTCACTTAGGTGTTTCTCTTCCAAACCGTCCAATTATCATCCTTCGCCATTCCTGAGCTGCTTTCTGCCAGAATTCGGTGATTGCGCACAACTCCTCCTCTCTCCTGCCCCCCTCCTCCTTGCGGACCGTGGCCGGCACAACAAATAAGTACCACCGCGTCGTGAGCATAATATCCCGTTGCTTTTTTTCGTAAACCAACAAATATCCATGCAAACCGAAGTACTACCCGTCATAGTTACGTCGTATGCGGCGTCGATGGTGCCGAAGGTGGCGCTGGCCTCTGTCAAAATCCGCGGGCCCCCGCTAACTTCGGATGAAACGGTACGCGAGATGATTCGCATCCACCTGAGGTTTCCTGAAGCATCTTGGGGCAGACCAAAGGAGAGGCCTCCAACCCCAGGTGTGCTCGACAGCACCCGGCGGGAAAAACAACGCTCTCTTATTCGGACAACAGGACAGGCCGACAAAGAGAACGCGGGCAAGGCAAGGATCCGGGGCCGACGGGAAAGCGAGGAGCCGAGGAGCGAGAGGGGGAGGGGGCGAGGGAGGACGACAGGACAGGACAGACCAGTCCGACGGACGGACAGACGAGGAGACGGGGAAAGGAAGAGAAACCGAGCGAGGAGACGGAGGGAGAGCACGCAAGACACAAGGGCAAAGAAACACAAGGGCAAGGGGGGAGGACACGGAGAGGGGGAGGAGAGAGGGGAGGGAGAGAGAGAGAGGGCCGGGGCCAAGGCAAGAAAGGAAGCGGGCCAAATGGCGCTACCGGGCGCCAGCAAAAACGGAAAATGCCACCGTCAAGGCCTGCAGTGGGGGGAAAATCACAACGGGCAGCAGGAGACGGCGGAACAACGAGTGGGGCCACCAATCCCTCATACTATCTGGGCATCGGCCTCGTCTTGGCGCCCCGCCTGCAGCAAGGTCGCCGCGCGGCCGACGTGGTCAGCATGGACGCCGGCTTCCTGAGGGATCCTGGCCAGCAAAGCGCGTGCGTTCGCACGCATCAGAGTGATGCTAAGGCCAGAATATAAGTAAGTGGTGACATTGCTCACCGTCTCGCCACTGCGCGCTGCACGGGCATGAATCAGGGTCCGGAACACGTCTTGCGCCATCTCGCCCCACCCGCCGAAGGATTCCACGACCATGGGGACTAGGCGGATGCCCAGTTGCTCACAGCGCGCGCCAGTATCTCTGTCTGCAAGCTTCGCCCCTTCGTATGACGTGGCCGCGCTAAGCTGTCTGGCGGCTGCCCCTTGCACCGCTGACTGTCTGAGAGGCGGCGTGACAGCAAACTCGAGAGCTACGGGCGGGCCGAGCGGCCAGGTCGGGAAATGGGTGTCCCTGGGCCGCCGGCGGGGGTCGTCTGGCAGCAGCCCGCTCTCCTCCTTTTCGGCACGGAGGCCCGCTGCGTGCGCAAAGGAGTGGACCTGATCGCGCAAGGCGTTGTGTACCTTGACCGCGTCACCACCCGCCATGCAACTGAGGGAGTGCAGGCCCTGCGCGTCCATCACCTGGTCGCACTTCGGGCGCCAGTCGTCCCTGCTAGAGGCATGGCACCCCAGCCACAAGCGCAAAGCCGCCACAAACTCGAAGTGGGACATGCGCTGCCCGCGGGCGCTACACGGCTGGGCCTGCAGCCATGCGCTCGCGTGCGGCGCGCTGGTCGCAAGGAGCCTCGCCTTGTGCGCGACTGGGCTTGCCGCGATCAGCTGGTCCAGGAGTCTTTCGCCCACGCGCATTGACAAAGACCGCTGGCTGGGGGCGGAGTCCTCGGCAGCCAAATGCTCGCTCGTGATGCGGTGCTCCTGCAAGGCGCCCCCATTATAGAGGTCGGCTGCTGCTGTCAGGGCGCCGCCATCACAGGCCCCGCCCCGCGAGAAGGCAGCGTCGATCTGACCGCATAGGTGTCGCGTCGCCGCGCGGGAGGAAAGGTAAACCGCGGCAGCGTGGTAACTTCCAGACCGAAATCCCAGTCCTCCCTTGCTCAAGGGCAGGGGCGCCTGCTGCCGCTGGCTCTCGTTTAGCGCCGTGCCACCGACAGGGGCGCCGAGCAATTTGAAGCAACCGTCGATTCTCCGCTGGACACTTGCGGGGAACTCGGACAGGTTGCACTCCGTATTGCGCCCAGCCGTGGGGGATTACCTCGCATTTGTCCAAGTTCAGCTCAAGGCCCAGGCTTGCTGCTTTCCGCTGAATCAGCCGCAGCGCCCGCAGCGTCGCGCCGAACTCGCCCGCCACGCAAAAGTCGCCGAGGTAGCCGCATACTATGTCCAACCCAGCATCGGTCTTCAGCTCCTGCAAGAGAGGATGAACAGCCACCGAGAACAGGAGAGGTCCAAGGGCGTCGCCCTGCTGGACTCCCCTGCTGGACGTCAGCACGTGGCTGCCAAACAGCAGGTCCGATGGGCCACCGCAACACCACCGAGCCCAAGCCTCCAAGCCTGGCATGTGCCTGCCGACCTCGTCCAAGAAAACAGACCGCTGCACGCTATTGAACGCATTGCGAAAATCAATGAGGAGGACCGCTCTGTCTTGCGAGTTCCTGTGACGACTTACATATTGTTGAAATGTGTGCACGACTGTCTCTGTTCCGAGTGGGCTTGCCACGCCAACTTGCAAAGGCCAGAACAGACGGCGCGCTTCATCCTTGACGTCAGCACACAGAACTTTGCTGGTAAGTCTGCGAAGGACTTCCCCCACCGCGATTGGCCGAATGTCGCCGTCATCCTTGGGCAATGCGGTAAGCGAGGCGCCGGCTACATGTTGTGACAGATGTTGAGCAGCCTGTCCACGGGCCCGCAGATTAACCAAATCTGTCAACGCCTCAAGGCAAGAGGCTTGGTCCGGGCCTGCCACGGCATCAAGAAGGTGCTGCGCCTTCAATCCAGAAGGCCCACTGGCTGAGCACTTCGGGAAGCTTCTCAGGGCGGCCAGAACCTCCTTATCTAAGAAGTCCTCCTGTGGTCCGCTCACACCTTGCAGAGGTCTGAGATCACGCGCCTCCGATTCTTCAGGGTGCTTCCTCTTCAGAGCCCTCAGCGTATTAAGGCTCGTGTCAGCCATGCCCTTGGAAAGCAAAGCCTTGCACGCCTGCCCGTCGAGGCCTTCCTCGGCCAAGGCGATGGCGCGGCGCCTCCTCTGCTCCTCCGAAGCGGTCGTGGCCTGCTGTGCCTTAGCCTCAGTGCGGGCGCGCCACAACTCTAAGCGGTCACCATCTGCCCACTGCTGCAAACGGGATCTGATGAGGCGATCCAGCACATGTTTGTGCTTCTTGCCGGACCTCGTGGCCGCTGCTAGGACACACTTGGGCAGCATCAGAAGCTCGGCCCAAGCATCGCGCGAGCGCTGCATTGCATCTTCGGGAGCATCCGCCCCCGGCGCCACGTTCAGGAACATTGCCGCGGCCATAGCTCGAGTCAGAATTGTGGACCATAAGCGTTCGTATGAGCTCGGCGCCCTCTTCACAGTACGCACATTGGCCTGCGTGATGTCGAGAAGGGCCGGCAAGCCCGCGGCACCCGAGCCGGGGAGGCGGCCGAGATCAGGCGCTGGCTGCCCTGGCGGACCCGCTGCTGACCGAGCGAGGTGCCGACGAGAAGGGTGCGTCGAGCCCACGGGGCCGACCGCCAGCCGCGTGCGCCCCGCGCATGGTACAAGCCGATGCTGCCGCAGAAACTCTTCCGGGATAGCTCCCTGTAAGGTGCCATTCCGATGTGCTTCGAGGTGCGCCCTCATGTTCTGCGCCGAGCTCCACGGGCGGCTGCGGCGGTCATGTCGCGGGCAGCCGACGACGGGGCAGTGAACTCTGGAGCTCACCTGCGGCATCGCCTCGTCAACATCCAGCCTGCGCATTCCCGCGGTCACCACATCCGTGCCTGGTGGCGTTGGCGTCGGCATTGGCGCAGAAGTCGTTGGCGCTGGCGCTCTTGATGGCGTAAGCGCCTGCCTTGGAGTCGGCGCCAGCGCCGATTCTGCCACGCATGCCGTTGGTGCCCCAATGTAGGCGCAGAAATCGTTGGCGCTGGCGTTCTTGCTAGCGCAGGCGCTGGCCTTCGAATCGGTGCCTGTGTCGATGGTGCCGAAGGTGGCGTCGGTGCCGGTGTGTGCGCATACGTGCTGCCGTCCGATACTTCCGTCGTCGTCGTGCCCATCGTCGCTGAATTGTTTTTCTTTGTATTGCCGTCCGCTGCTTCCGCCGTCGTCGTGCTCGACGCTAGCGCCGCCGTCGAAGACCGGAGTCGGCAAAATATCGGCATCGAAATCGAAAGCGTCCACATTGTTCCATTCATTCGCCCTTCTTCCAGACTGTCTTCCCCGTGCTCCTCCCCATTCGCCTTTCCCCTCCTGTCAGCCTCCTTCCCTCCTCGCGGACCGTGGCCGGCAATGCAGAGAAGAGCCGTCCCGTCACAACCAGAATGTTCCATGAACGCTCGTAATAACTGTGTTGCAGTTGCACCATCCGTAAAAATTGTTGTCGATGAGAGCACACCGTATACCCAACTTCCCATGCGTCCCATTCCCACCTGCACCAGCGCAGTGCTGCGGGGATCCCCCCCCGCGCGGAGGGCGGACTAGTATGGGTGGTACCCGGCCACCGCGGGTGCTGGCCCGCCAAGGTACGGCGAGGGGGCACCGCCAGGATGCGTCCTGGCAGCTCTGGGCGGCGCTGGCGCCGGCACACCGGCAAGGCGGCATAGGAAACCCATCTCTGTCGTGTCGGCATTGGCCGCCATCGTGCGAAGAGCACCGCGGCCGCCCCCCCCCTTCAAGGCCCGGAGCACTTCCAATTGTGCAAACTCCGTTTGCGTAGGTGGGTGCGCAAATGCTAGCACATGCGGCCGCCGGATAGCATGGGCGCATCCAGACCCATGCCATAGTCATGGTGCGCGTCCCCATGTGAGCTCCGATTACCACTCCACAATACTAACCATCCCCACGCAATCGCAAGTGGTGCAAACCCCGGCGTGCTGGCATATTTTGGGTCCTCCCCGTTGCAAGCTGCAAGCGCATGTAGCGATGCTAATAGCACTCGCGTGGGAGGCCAGCTAAATAGTTGATCGCCCCTCGCGATACAGAGGCATCCCAAGATGAGGAAGATTGCGCCGCCAATGATGCCCACTCCCACGCTGTGGCTCTCGCAATGTGCCAGTCGATTCCCGTAAATGCGTCGATCAACCATTCCATCTGCCCCCATGTCGCCGCAGAGAGACGAGAAAATATGCGCGGTGTAGGAACGAAAAGGATGCAGCGTAGAATAGGATGTGGTGTACAGGTGAAGGAAAAGGCGTGGAACCCTCGAGGATCTTGCCCATGGCCACCTCGCGCGCTTGAGAACCATTCCGAAGCTGTCGAACTACTCGCCAAGGGTCGCGGTGTAGTTGGTCATCAGGCCACATGCGTTTTTCCTTGTTTCACAGAGTTCCGACTGGCCTTGGAGAATAGTTTTCTTTCGTCGCGGCGGCGTGCACGTCGAGCGGCTTCTTTGGGAACTGGCACGTTTGCTTAACAGTCGCGGTGGTGGCCCCTGAGGCGGAGTGCATCGCTGCGTCGCATCTTTGATTTGCTCGGCATGCTTATCAAAATCTTCAAGGGCGGTGTTCGCACGTAATGCCCCGCAGAACGCGTTGCCGTAGATTTCCGCCAGAGCTCGATCTATACAGTGCTTGGCCCCGAGTGGAATGCCGAACTTTTGTTTTCCATAACGCGTCTAACAAGATAGACGTCCAAAATTGCAACATGAAGCGTCGTGATGCCAGCGTCACCCCACGGTTGGATTCAATGTTTGACGTTTGTTCCAATGGCGGGGCATCCGCCACGTAATGGTCAATTTGAACGAAAACTTTTGTATGGGCATCTTATGTTGCATTGCCGTTAGGAAAGTAATGACAAATTGGTTTGCCCCATGTTCGAAAATTGCATTCGCATTAACTGAGTCTGTGGCTCGGCGCGCCTCTACGAACAAATCTGTTTTACAAATGCTCTTTGTGTTGCGGCCATTTGTTTTCGAAAACATCGCCCCGCAATGTCGTCTTCTCCCGGCTGCTGTTGGAAGAGCTTCACATTGAAGTCGCCGAGTGCCATGGTGCATATATGGTTGCTTCGTTTTGGTCATCCGCCGATCAACTCATCAAAGACAGTGCGCCTGGCGTCTGGGTCGCGTCCAGATTGTGGAGCATAAGCAGTAGAAAGGTTAAGGAGACCGCCGAGGACACGAAGGCGTAATAAAACGATCCTGTCCGACATGAGCTTGAAGCTGATCGCACTTTGTGTCGCCGGCGGGGCGATGATGAATCCCGCTCCTGAGTAAAATCGCCCAGAGATTTCCTTGGTCGTGCCAGGTAAGATAATGAGGTACCCTTCCTCCTCGAACGTGTCTGAAACAGCGGCGCACGTTCCAAATTGCGAAGCATGCAAGTCGTAGCGGCCGGCATTGGCATTCGAATCTGCCCCACATCTTGTTAATATGACGGAAGCCATACTGGTATGAAGTAGTATGTTTTTTTTGGGCCCGGCAATGTGGGGTTCAAACAACTCTCCGGGTGGGTCGGCATCTTTGTCCGAATCGCTATCCACGCAAAATTCCGTGCATCCAAGCTTTCATTTTGCAAACATATGTCGTGTAACCATTGGCGATGATGTAGAATTCGAAGAGAAATATGAATACTGTGAAGAAGAGATTGGTACGTGGTTTGTTTGATCGGCTCTAGCGCTGGTCTGTGCAGGACTCCGCCGTGGAGGTTGAGCCAGCGCTTGCCGCATTTCGTACTTCCCATTTTGGCCTTTTGATTCGCCTGTCGCAGATCCTTTCATGCCACGGCGAGCCCTGTGTATAATGAAATCGCATTTTTCCACCAGCGGAGCCCTTTTTGCATGGTTTTGCAAGTCATCCCAATTCTTCCATTCTTCTTCCCAGACGCGTTTACCCCGTCCTCTCCCACGTGCACCGTGAGTGCCAGTTGTCCGCCAATATGCACGCGGCAGGGAAGAAAACCAAAATTCCACGAAACATGTGGGGAATCAAATTCACCGCTTTAATAACAAACCCTGCCCCTTCAATAACAAACCCCACCGCTTGAGTGAGAAATCCCACCGTTTCACTCGAATAAACTTGAGCGTTTCATTTCAAATCGGGTTTGCCCGTTCAGCTCCCATAATTACAATTAATTGCTGTTCTCTTTCCCTAAGCCCGCAATAACTTCATTGACTAGACCGAGATTCCACGGGCCGTTGCAAGCCGTTCGCATGGGCCGCGCCGGCAGATTCCCGAGCCAACAAAAATTGTCAACACCAAAGAACCAAGAGCGGCGCACGCTGGACAGCCTAAACATTTTTTTCTGCGGCGTTGCCGATTCATAAATTGTCAGCGCGGCCGCTTTCGACCGTAGCAGAATCCCACCAGCCCTCTGGGCGTCGGTGGTTTAGGGCGTTTCCTCTTCCACCCCTCCCTCTTCCCCTTCGGGGAAGGGTTTACCCCTCCCCCTACCCCCTCCCCACTGACCTGGACAGGAGGGGCGGGGAGCGGTCAGAGCGTCCAAAACGGCCTCGGCGAGGAAGCCAAACTCATTGATTTTACTATGGTTTTGGCCCCATTTTGGCCTTCTGAGGGGGCAGGGCTAATTAAAGCTCCCCTCTTCTTTGATCGATTTCTTCCACGATGGCCGCAAGAGGCCCCCAGGATGCCCCAAGAGGCCGCAGGATGGCCCCAAGGCCCCAAGAGGCCCCCCAAGAGGCCCCCAGGAGGCCCCCAAGAGACCCCCAAGAGGCCCCAAGAGGCCCCAAGATGGCCCCAAGAGGCCCCAAGAGGCCCCCAGGAGGCCCCAAAGAGGATCCCGAACGGTCCACAGAGGCCCCCCCGAGGCACCCAAGACGCCGAAAAGCCCCTCAGGACGACCCTCTACTCGCCTGGGCGTCGTTTCTGGACGGGCTGGTGGGGATATACATATATATATATATATATATATAATATATATATATATATATATATATATATATATATGTTACAGCCGCAGGCGGAAGCGCCAGCGGCGGAAGGTCGCGAACGGGCCGCGGACGCGACTAAATCACGTAACGCGCGCAGGGCCGCGGATCAGGCGGCTCACGGCAGCGTCCAGGGGGCCGAAGCCGGTGCAATCCAAGTGCCATGACAGCCCCTGAACGGGCATGCAGGTGCGTCCAACAGGCCTGAGGTAGGCACCGAGACCACCTAGCGCAGCCAAAATGGCGCGATAACGTTCCAACGTCCAGGTGCGGACAAGGAAACGACCCGAGGACGTCAGCCCCAGCCTGTCGGGTAGCACAGACGACGAGGTGGAAAGTCCAACGAGGATCCCGACGGCGGCAGCGAGCCGCGGCGCCAGAACGACATCAAGGTGCATCCGCTGGTGGGGATACGCGAAGCGTCTAGAATT